ATCAGTATTACTTAAAAAGAAGATATTCCAGATCCTTACAATCAGAGTTAATTATAATTTGCATTGTCAGAAAATCAAAGAATCACTAAATTGGGATGGATTATAAAAGGTTACCTTATCCATTGAAAGTGATAAGTCCATCAGAGCCCATTACACCATCCTTCTATTTCTATTCAAAACTTTACATAATAAAAAGTTTTAAAGAGGTAAGCCAATCCAATAATTCATTTTTCAGATGAGGGTATACCATCACTATGTAGAGACAACTACTTGTACAATGAAGCTCTGAATTTTGAAACTCACACACACAAAAAAAAATGGATGAAACATCATATTTTTAACCAAAATACATCTTCTCAATGAGACTTCAAGGGGTTTCACCAAAAATTTATTCAGCAACATTCTACAGCAGAAACCAGAAACTTAAAATTTTAGGACTACAACAGTATTGTAGTAAGCAATTATAGCTTATAAGTAAATAACAGCATTTTACTAAAGCTAGAAATTTTGTTTGTTATGGTTTTGTCATTTTTAAACTAATGTTTTCCTACTTTAGCTACTCCAGATTTAGAGCTTCAATTTTTACATGAAAATCCATGGATAAGTTTGACACTGTATATTTTTAAAAAAGGTTATAATGAACTTTTATGGAAACTAAAAAGACTGGCATTTCCACCCTCAAAAAAATAATAATAAAGTTTTTACTCTTATTTCCAAGTACCTGGACACTGACTTTCCCTATAGTCTGAAGCTGAAAGTAAAGTAGAGGGAAGAAAGGAGAGGGGAGGCCCAGTTCCCACAGAAGAAGGACAACCAGATCTAACAGAAACATAAGTGGCCTTGCCATACAGTTCAACAGCAGCAGCACCAACTGCAATTATTATGTTAATATATTCTCTCACTCAATCATTACCAAAATCCTTCTGAACAACTACTTCACAGATGGGGACACAGACTCAGATTAAGAAATGCACCCGATATCACCTCCATCATACGTGGCAGAGTTGGGATCAATCTCAGGAAGTCAGTTCCAGAAGCCTTGTTTGCAATTGCTGGGCAATACTGCCTGAGGATGAATCAATGTGGCAACCACAGATCTGATTCTATCTTCATCAGGAAACATAAGAGGGCATTCAATAAAAAGTGCTTTTTTCATTGGAAAAAAAAAAATTCCAAAAGGGTATGACTTCATGGTCAGACTTGTATTCACAAGATTAGTTTAGCAAACCAAAGGTACCACTTGTTTCCCATAGATATGCCTAAAAACCTACCAAAAGCCATCAAGTAAGGATAGGGACTTAGATTGTGTTTCCCATTAGAAAAAAAAGTCAAAGCGGTTTATAAGGCTCATGGCTCTACACATAGATGGACCACATATAAGCACATGCAAAGCAAGATAAAATGATACTTAAGTTTCAAGCATGTGACTATACCTGAACTTGTCAAAACAATGACTTTGATTTCTAGTCTTAAGAAAACTTTGGCTGTGTCACCAGCCAAACTTCCTGACCTTGAAATCTCTACCTCTCCATTTTCCCAAATAGTAAAATGAGCCAACTCTTGTGAAAATGATTAGCAGAAGTTATCATTGTACAAACCTTGCATAATCCAGGGACATAAACCAGCAGCTCTTACATCTTTACTGGGATCAGTTTTTTTTTTCTTTGAACACTTTAGAATCATCCAAAACTATAATAGTAAATACATACAATTTTAGAGAGTTGGAGCTTTCTTTTACAAGACCACCGAGTTATGTAACCAACTTGAAGGCTGCATTAAATCAGAATCAGTGCTACCACAATGCTCGTCCCAAGACTTGAACTGGGTCAGAGAAGTATGATGACCTATGGAAACATCAGGACCACAGACTCACATCAGATATTATTGTTGACAATCAGAATTGGGAGGAAAAAATGAAGTCTGAACAGAAAGATTGCTCTAAGGTCTTTTCGTACCCTGAGGTCCACAGAAGCTTCCTTTCCTGTGTGGGAGGGAGAGGAGCTCTTAAATGGTTAAAAATAAAAGTGAAGCAAAGTTATTCCCCACTCACATCCTATGAGTAAAAGGGTGATACTTGCTGGGAATGTTCAGCACTTGCACATTATGTTATGTGATTAGTCATTGCGCTCTGTCCATGGAACAGAGTGATATATTCACCTTCTCCTGAACAGAAGGAAAAATACATACCATTACCCTTCCATCAACAGTCCAAGGAGATCTCCATTCTCTATTCAGAAGTCTCTTCTGTTGCCTCAGAGGGACAGTGTGTCTTAATATCTACCATATGTACACTCACATATATAGGATGTCATGCATGTTTGAGAACTCAAAAATAGGAACGTGACTATGCTCATTTTCCTTCTTAAAAAATGACATCAGGAAAAAAAGGACTCTTAAAGAATAACTGTGTGGAAAAGTAGGAACATAATCTTGGCTTTTTGGCTTCTACTTCTCTCTACAACTTCCTGACTCCCACCATTTGTGAAGGTGAGACCATCTCTCAGTTTAGCTGGATGATGCTCTCAATGTAATTATCCCAGCTATGCACAAAGTCAGACACTCATACACACTTCTCTAAGTTACTATTAAAAAACATTGAACTTATGTTTTCTGAGAATTGTATAATACCGCTCTAGTAAATGAACAATTAAGGGTCACTGCAAAACAGGACCTGGGAATCATTTTCTCATTAAAAGGCAAAAGGTTAACATCTAACTATCTGTAGGAAAAACCAGCACACTAATACTTTTCCTATCAAGTCTCTGAATGACCACAAAGTGTAGGTCTTTGACCATACTTCAGCTTCCACCTAAGACAACCATTTCCTGTTGCTATGAGTTCCAAAGATGAGTCACTTGGAACCTTCCAGACAACTTGAGATCTAGCAATTTTCACAATTAACAAAATATACTCCTGGTAATTAGGAGTGCTTGGCAATTCAGTCTATTAAAATATCAGATCAAAACCATTTGCAAATCCTTCCCCATGAAAATAAGGTTTTGGGGTAAGTGAATTTGAAGGACTTTTTTCTTTCCTAATATGAAACAGATAGCTCATCATTGTTACCCTTTCATTAAGTGATCCATCTATAAACACAATCACTAAGGGTGGAGGGGGACAGTTTCAGAATCAATGTACTATAAATAGGGTAATTTATGACTTGTCACTAACACGCCTTTTAACCTCAAATCACATGACATTTAGAACAGTCTTTATGTTAAATCCTTCAAGTACACATACATAAAGAAGAGCAGTCACAACAAAATATTAAGTGACCAGAAGGGCATGACATATCTTAAACCAAGAGCAAGAAAAATGAACATTTTATTGCACCTACAATTAACTGTGCATTCAAGTTCTACTCAGCCTGCTGGGAGCACCTTGTTAATGTGTCAAAAGACACCTACCCGCCTAGGAAACATCAAAATTTCAAAGTTGTAAAAACAACAATGAAGGACCATTACTATTATCACTGTTCATCAGAAAGAAACCACAACAATAAAAGCTTACATTTTGGATTTCCCCTGTGCAGAAATTAAGTCTTTGTAAATATTAATCTGAATCAGATAAATATGACCTCTGGTATAAATAGTATTGGTTGTACGAATAAGAATGAAATACGTTTAAAATGTGCAGCTTCTTCAATGATTAAAAACAAAGAAAACAGTGTAAAGTAATGTAACTATTTCTCTCTTGGTTTAGGTGTATTTTCCATTTTATCAGTAGTTTCTCTTCTTCCTGATCTGTTCCCAGGCTTCCAGAGCCTTTATCTTATATTAATAGTTGAATTTAAAGACAAATGTGCAGACAAAGGAAAGGAGGCAAATGCAGCTCTCTAAAACTGAGATCTGTTTTGTTATAAACACTGTACATGACTAGAAGAGTGGAGAAAAATCCTTGATCAGTGTCATTTTCACATGGGAAATATTTTGACCTCAGGAAAACTTGAGAGCTTAACAACTAGGTTTTCTTGAGAAATTTTAGAAATTCACATAAATCCTGTTCTGGTCAAATACAAGTCATCCTGTTTTTCCGCTTTGTTTTCTCATGATACAGACATCTTATGTTTCAAAGAATAAACCACGGTGAGGAAATGTCTTCAACATAAACAATGAAGAACGGATTTTAAATTAAAGTGGATCATTTTTAAATAGCAAAATGCTAACTTACACCTATATACTTAGTGTAGTTGCACACATGCTCAGAACCAAAAAATTTAAAAAAAAAATCTGGCTTTACTGTATTTTCACATTTTAGGTACCAAAGTCTGAATCTAGTAATTTCACACAGGAGTTGCTAAGCCTTTTGTATTCCTTGGCAGCATCTGTCTGGCCCGGCTGGTTCTTTTCACACTTTGTACCAGAGGTTACCACTTCAGCTAGCTTGGACTTCAGGAAGCAAGTATCTGAACCTTAATTATGACCCACTCATTTCAGTGACTGGTTAGTGCAAACTGAATGAAGTTCAAAGCAAAGATAATTAAGAAAATAGAAGTTGCATGTTTCTCATAAACTGGAGAGAGAGAGAAAAAAAAAACTGTCTCCCAAGTTCTCTCAAATTAAATGTCAAAGAGGGGGAAAGAGTATAACAATAATTAAAGATGGAAGTTACTTTAGAATAAGACTTGATTTTTTTTCAAAGATATATTTATTTATACCCATGGCTTATTTGAATTTAAAACATATGCAACCCTTACAATACATGTCATACTTGGAACTGAAGTACTCCGATTCTGACATACAGACGCCCAGCTTAGAATGCATTTCTGCAGAATCCGGGGGAGATCAATAGAGTCAGGAAACAAATATGTTGATGGATGAGGATGGGTCTGAAAACGACCAGGTTGAGGTGGCCACGCTGCAGGTTTCACAGCTATTCCCATGTTGGCAGAACGAAAAGGGTTACAAATGATTTCCTCCCCCCCCCTCTTTTTTTTTTTTTTAAGGGGGAGAGGAAGGGAAATAAGAGGAGGGAGGTAAAAAGAAGAAAGGGAGGGGAGAGAATGGAGGGATGGTGAGGAAAGGAAGAAAGAAAGGAGGATGGGGAAAGAGAAACCCAAAGAGGGGCGGGGGAGTGGGAAGGAAAGCTATGATGTATGGACGCTCGCCAGCCACCCAGCTAAGCGCTCCATCACCCCCAAGCCTGCATCCCTCCCTCCCAGGTCTAGAGACGCGGGGCTCCCGGGCGCTGACAGCCCTCCCGGTGACCCCAGCGCGGGCAACCCCGTGATGTCCAAAGTAGCCCACTGCAGCCAGCCCATCCGAGCCCGCCACTCCCTGGACCGCGCTCGCCTCCCCGCCCCCGACTTCTCCCGGCGCCCCCATCTCTAGTCTCGGGAAAAAGCCGAGAAGAGCGCAGCAAAGGGGAGGGGGGAAATCCAAAAGGGGAGGGAGCGGGAGCGGGGGAGGCAACAAAAAATTTTTTATTAATCATCCGATAATGGATCCTGGGGAAGCACCAGGGGAGGGGACCCGTGGTAAGCACCTGGGAAGGAACACGCTGTTGCCAATACCCCGGGCTCCGCGGGGCTGGGCGATTTTCCACAAAAGGAACTTTGGAAGGAGCGCAGCGGTTTGCAATGGAAGAGAAATAGATGGCAGCGTTACCTGGCCGAGGTCATGCCCGCGGGCCGCCGAAATCCTCAGGTTTGCGATATTGAGCCACTTGGTCAGGTTACTATGGAAATCGTCTTAAGGAGATGCGGGGGGGAAACCGACACAGGCACATCCTTGTCACCGCGAGGGAAACTGCTCCGGCCGCCGAGAGCGGGCGCGGGACCCGGCGCGGCGCCTCTCCCGGCCCGGC